CCGTTTTGGAGACTTTTGCAGCAGCTGAACAGAGAGCGCGGCAAAGAGTGGCGAGAGCTTTAAAAACAGCCCCAAACAAAAGAGCCTGTGTGGGACCCACGCTGAGAGACAGGCACACTGAAAAGCACTCCGAGAGCTCAGGTTAAAGGTCTGGCCTCAAACACATGAAGGAGAACCGTGCCGTTAACTCAGTACGAAGACGTTTCACAATCATGTCTTTGTGCGTGTGTAATAATGTATCTATAATATACAAGTACACGGGGAACAGGAAGTGCAATGGTTCCCGTACGGCCACTCTGAAAAAATTCCCGTGCATTTGTACTGAGACGGGACGGAGCAGAGGAGAAGGCGTCGCCGGACTTCCTGGGATTTCTGAAAATGTGTTGTGTGACTTCCAGCTCGTACTCCGGTTGGCTGAGAGAAGTGAAAATCTCAGAGCTGTGAAACGATTCAAAAGCAGCCCGACAGCGATCATGTGACCAGAGAGACGACCCTTCAGCAGTCATGTCTTTACTAACACTGATTGGTCGAGCAGTCTGAATGGATCCAACCAATGTTGAGTGAGTCTGCCACACACAGTATGAAACTCATCATTCAGCCTCAGTCAGACGGTTAAACCATAAATCTGTACTACAGTAGTCCAGCTTACCTAAACCCAGTATTACTCCAGTTAAACCAGTGCTGCTTTTATTTGACAGCCTGGATTCCAGTCCCGTGACCCTCAAAACTGACCGACTGACCTTTAACTACAGACTCTCCTGCTGTGACCACCTGCAGCCTGACAGGAAGTCACCTGCACAGGTGAGCGAAGGCGTGACCTGAGGCCTGGAGCTACGTTCACAAACAGATCATCTGCTGCGATCAGGCTGCGGCCCAGGAAGAACCTCAGCTGGACGCTCCTGTGTCACAGCGAGGAAGAGGAGGAGGCTGCAGAGCAGAACTTAATGAGCACACAGTCAGCACTGTAATTAGACTATACCGAAGACAGAGGACTACAATTATATCTCAGCTCTGTCACTGCTGCTCGGCCTTCAGTTTGCAAACAACAAGCAAAAAGAAGCAGAGGAGGAGGAGGAAGAGGAGGAGGAAGAGGAGGAGAATAAAACAGGGTTTAATTTCCTGATTTAGTATTTTGCTTCACGCCCTGGTTTTAAGTCTCAGAGAGCGTCGGGTGTTTCAAAACATCCAGTGAACTCAGAGAAAGGGTCAGAAATGTTTGATTGAAAACGCTCTGGACACAGTCTGAACAGTTTGACTCCAGACTGGATTCAGCTAAAAACTGGAACAGGATACAGACAAACCTGGTTTTAAACCAGTCACACACCAAAGATCGTTCATCGTATTAATCCTGAACAGTCTACACCTGCGAATAAATCCACTTTAAATCCAGCATGAAATACAGGAAAATTCTAGTGTGAAACCAGTGACTCATCAAGCACAATCTCCAGTATTTCCAGTATAACTTCAGCATTAGTCTCTGACTAGATCCTAAACCAAGTAAAAATGTGTTATCAAAAACAAAACAAAAGAAAAACACCACAAACCTGCAATACTGCACTTAACCCAGCATTAAACCGCAGATCCAGTATTAACAGCCCACAGACACTGGTTTCATCCCCAGTAACAAACACATCATCCAGCCATAATCCAGCTTTAATCCAGATCTGCCAGTAACTACAACAAAATGGTTTTTGCAGATAAAACCAGTTGTAACCCAGAATTATAAACCCAGTTAAACCAGTAGAAACTCAGGGTGAGTCTGCTGTGGACCATCAATAAAAACCAGGAAACTCCAGTGTTAAACCAACGATTGCCCAGTATAAATGTTGCCCAGTATAAATGTTGCCCAGTATAAATGTTGCCCAGTATAAATGTTGTCCGATTCAGTATAAATTTGTCCCAGTATAAATGTTGCCCAGTATAAATGTTGCCCAGTATAAATGTTGCCCAGTATAAATGTTGTATTGACTGTAAACACAGGAACATTTTCAATGACATCAGTTTGAATGAAGCATTAAACCCAGAAAATTCCATCATTAGATCCTGTAAATTTCCAGTATGAAACCAGTATAAATCTGATATTGTACCCAAGCTAAAAAACCAGTGTTACATTCCCACCAGTAGCCTGGTATTAAACCAGTTAAGCTTTTTTTCAAACAAGTATTTACACCAGTATCCACACACTCACTGCCTGATTTAATACCAGAATAATCCCAGTAGAGATCCAGTTCATACTGGTTGTTAGGGGCCTGTTTTGTGGGGGCAGACCGGCCACATTAACATATAAATAACCTCCCCCCTGCGAGGGGCCGGTGGGTGGTGGGGGATTAAGGAGGTCATTGAATGTGGCTCCTTGTGGCTTGTGAGGAGCGTAGTGTGGGGGGGGGGGGGGGGGGGGGGGGGGGGGGGGGGGGGGGGGGGGGGGGGGGGGGGGGGGGGGGGGGGGGGGGGGGGGGGGGGGGGGGGGGGGGGGGGGGGGGGGGGGGGGGGGGGGGGGGGGGGGGGGGGGGGGGGGGGGGGGGGGGGGGGGGGGGGGGGGGGGGGGGGGGGGGGGGGGGGGGGGGGGGGGGGGAGGGGGGGGGGGGGGGGGGGGGGGGGGGGGGGGGGGGGGGGGGGGGGGGGGGGGGGGGGGGGGGGGGGGGGGGGGGGGGGGCGGGGGGGGGGGGGGGGGGGGGGGGGGGGGGGGGGGGGGGGGGGGGGGGGGGGGGGGGGGGGGGGGGGGGGGGGGGGGGGCGGGGGGGGGGGGGGGGGGGGGGGGGGGGGGGGGGGGGGGGGGGGGGGGGGGGGGGGGGGGGGGGGGGGGGGGGGGGGGGGGGGGGGGGGGGGGGGGGGGGGGGGGGGGGGGGGGGGGGGGGGGGGGGGGGGGGGGGGGGGGGGGGGGGGGGGGGGGGGGGGGGGGGGGCGGGGGGGGGGGGGGGGGGGGGGGGGGGGGGGGGGGGGGGGGGGGGGGGGGGGGGGGGGGGGGGGGGGGGGGGGGGGGGGGGGGGGGGGGGGGGGGGGGGGGGGGGGGGGGGGGGGGGGGGGGGGGGGGGGGGGGGGGGGGGGGGGGGGGGGGGGGGGGGGGGGGTGGGGGGGGGGGGGGGGGGGGGGGGGGGGGGGGGGGGGGGGGGGGGGGGGGGGGGGGGGGGGGGGGGGGGGGGGGGGGGGGGGGGGGGGGGGGGGGGGGGGGGGGGGGGGGGGGGGGGGGGGGGGGGGGGGGGGGGGGGGGGGGGGGGGGGGGGGGGGGGGGGGGCTTTCCTATCAGTCTCCTAAACTGATCAATAAACTCATCAATGCGGCTAAACTCTGAGTCAAAGCTTTTTAAACTGTCGGCGTGTTGTTTCCCGACAGCCCCGAGGACCCCTGCAGCTCTGGGTGGGAATCCCCTCAGCCCGGGCGTCGGGGGCAGCGGGGGTCAGCCGCGTTCCTTCAGACGGACGGACACTGGACGCTTTGTCCTCAGGCATTCCTCGGTCAGAGGCGACGTTCCCACACAGAGCCGCAAAATTACAGGCTGCACCCGAACGCCTCATTACAGCAGACAAACATCCACCTGAGAGACGCAGCGCGCCGACACGTCACAGGAGCCAGAGCTGCAATCACAGGTTACACACAAACCTCCCAAACTGCACACAAAAACTCTCACGCCTCAGACAGCTGTGAACATCTGGCAGCTGAAACATCCACCAGCAGAAATTCACCAGAAATGCTCCACGACTGGTTCCTAACTTCAAACTTGTGTAGGAGAAATCATGAAAATATTCGCTTTTTCTTTTAGATGCAAACAAAGTGAATAAAATCAAGACTTTTTTATATTTTACACTTTTAAATCTTATATTTAAAAATATATATGAATCCTTAATTTAGTAGAAAAATCTTTAATACAATGATTGTTATGATGCCGACAAGCGTCATGAAAACAGGATCACTAAAAATCAAATAACCAGTATGAAACCAAGGATAGAACCGAGTTTATGGGTAAAACCAGTTTCAAACCCACATGAATCCCAGACTGACACCATCAGGGCCCAGCTTCATACAAACCACCACAACAACCAGTATGAATCCAGCTTCTAAGCAAATATCGTCCCAGTAGTCTCCAGTATAAATATATTTCTCCAGTCTAGTTAACCCAGTATAACGTCACAGTTAAACCAATATAGGATTAGTGTTTAACCCAGTATTAAAGTCAAACCACAGGTCGCCGTGACGCCGAAAATGCCAACAAGCACAAAAGCTCGACGCTAAAATAGTTTTTATCTGTTTTATAGTTTGTAATCACACACACACACACACACACACACAGCACCAACACACGACCACACCAACACCACACACAAAACACACACACACACACACACACAACACACACACACACCGACACACACACACACACACACACACACACGCACACAACACACACAACACACACACACACACACACACACACACACACACACACACACACACACACACACGCGCACGCACCACACTGCACCACACCACCCACCACCAGCACACACACACACGCACCACACACACACACACACCACCCACACACACACACAGCACACAACACACACACGCACACACCACACACACACACGCACGCACACACACACACACACACACACACACACACACACACACACACACGACACACACACACACACACACGCACCCACGCACACACCGCCACGCCGCACGCGACGCACG